AAGTTATAGTCTGGAAATTGCATTTAACAGTTATTAAGAGACCAGCCAGCTTTGCTTTATCCCTCACCTTCCAGTGGCTGCACCTATTGAATCCACCTCCACCAGTTTCATCTTCCACCAACATAAGACACTTTTTATTGTCCCCGGCCCCCAAAGCAGCCAGACAGGTAGATTGGGAAAGTGGTACCATCAATCAGTGTCGTGTGCGCACTGTTCTCTTGACTAGAAAGGGCGAGCACTGTCATTCAAGCGCCACACAGTCCCTTTGCATCTTCCAAAGTTAAACTTCTACAGAAAGCAAAGGATCCAATTGCTAAGGGTTGTTCCGTGCATATTGCAGGGTAGATGTCATTAAGATTCACCTCCCTCCTTGCCCTGTTCAGTTGCTTCTGTGGAAGGCAGGGGATTTCTCTTGTCTTCTTCAATTTGGGTTTATTGAATTTCTGAATCTCAGCATATCTTGTTTGTCAGATAGTTTGACAGATTAAGTGGTAATGGGATACAGAGATGAGAGTCAATGTCTCCAATAACTGCTACTCTCGTCTGACTCCCCCATCTCCCAGCCCAGCCTCTTCTTATATTTGACTACACATACTCTCTTTTTTACCCTAATTGCATCTGCCCTTGATGTATGACCTTCTGAAATTCTCCCACAATGAACCTGTGGAGTTCAGTTTTTTAGAACCACTGAGCTGATACATACGTCTCCAGCTCTCAGTGTCACCTAAGGTGCTTATCTCCACTGGCATAGAGAAGTATATGTACTTGGAGGTTCAAACTTTAATGCAGTATATTCCTTCTACCAAGATCAGAAACACACACACACACAATTAACAACAAATCTGGAATAATTTAGCCACTATTACTTTTCACCTTTTAGAATCAGTTGTCATGAAGCCATGTGGATCTCTTATTATTTATCCCTTTATTTACCATGACTTCATTAATAGATCACTGCGTAACAGTCTGGATTTTCTGCACAGCTTCCCAAGTCTCCCTTTTATATGTGGTGCATGCACATTTTCATGTGTATATATTCACACACATGTGTGGAGGCCAGAAGTTTACATTGTGACATTAGTGTCTTACCCACTTGCTTTCTGCCATATTTATTTAATATAGGTTATCTCACTGAACCTGAAGCTCATTGATTCAGCTAGGCCTGTTGGTTGGCTAATGAGCCACAAGGATCCCCTGTCTTCATTTCCCACCAGCACTGGGGTTAAAGTATACCTTGCTTTACTGTGGGTGCTGGGGATCAAAGCTTGGGTCCCTCTGCTTGCACAGCAGGTACTTTGCTGAACAAGCCTTCTCCCCAACTCTCAAGGTCTCCCAAAGTGATTCCAAGTGCTCTTATATCATCATTAGAGTCATACAAACCATCTTAAACTTAACTGGGGAACAAACCTCTAAGTGTGGGGACAGAATTTTCCGTTTTAACAAACTTACCAATTCCCAAACTAGCTTTTAAAAACCCGGTCATTAATCTCCTTATCTTCCATTTCTATAGTAATCCAAATTACTTTATAACTGTCCACATATGTACAGATATTTACATTGGGACACATTTCTGTTTAGGGAACCATTCCTTTATATGTTATACATTACATGCATTTGATAAAAAAATGTGAATTTTAGGGTTGGTGAGAAGGCTCAGCGGGTAAAGGCACTTGCTGCCAAGTCTGATGACCTGATTTCAGTCTTCAGAATCTACATTACGGAAGGAAAAGAACCAACTCCTACAAGTTGTTCCCTGATCTCCACATGCACAAATATATGCTGTCACACACACACACACACACACACACACACACACACACACACACACACTGGTAAACACACATAAATAAAAGAAGCAGACAATAACATCTTTTAAAAACTAAAAAAACAAATGGATCTTCAGGATCAGAACCCCATCTTATAGAGGACACAATGGTTTGAATTAACAAAGCAGGCCTGACTGTTACCCTTTAAAAGACCCAAATTTAAGGCTGGCTCTTGGAATAACATCTGGTAACTTCATTTGGGGGAGTTTCCACTATTCCCCAGAACTGATAACACTGTGCCTAAAATGTTTTCATAAACAATATGGCTTGAAATAAACACACACTTTATGTTGGCAGGGGGCAAGAATTTGGTTGGAATGTGCTAATGTGAACAGTCTTCAGCAAAAACTGTGAGCTGGGTCTACTGTGGGCCTCTTTTCTTGCCAATATTTCACATACTGTGTCACATGTATTAAGTCTATCCTGTGCAGCCCCACCAGAAGAGTTTTGGAAGCTCGAACCTGGTGTCTTCTGAACTCTACTTCATATGTCTTTTTCATTGTATTTGGTATCTTATTGTTATAACAAATCAGAACCATGAGTATGACTGTGTAGAGTTCTATGAAGGTTAATACAATGACTCACCAAACCTCAGCATGATGGTCTTGGAGAGCTCCCACAAGTCAATATTGTCTACAACTTATTTTTTCCATGAAATAGAAGCAACAAGAGTAGGTAATAAAAGCATGGAAACCCAGACTTAGCATCTAAGTTTCATTACTTCTGTGTCTCATGGCTTCTTTGATTATAAAACTGAGCCAATAATGCTGACTTTGCAAACATTTTACAATGATAACAGAAGAAGTCTGTGGTAAAAATCCTTTAAGAAGTAACTATTATTTTTATTTAACCTTTTAGGTTGGGTTTAATGATCAGAAAGAATTCTATGGATCCAATTTTATCCTTATTCTACCATACATACGCTAGAAGTAATTGGATGAATTCAAAAGGTCACAGTTACACTGGAGCTTGTGACTAGATGGTTTGGCTCTGGAAATGTGTAGAGCTTCTCTAAGGACCCACACGGGGAATTGCTCGGAGAGAAGTCAAAGAAAGGTACATGTTCATATTCGGCCCCAGCAATCAGCTACGGTTAGATGTTTGTCTCCTGCTTTGAGTCTCCTAACAGTCCGCTGATTTCTGGGCCCTAATATTGTTCTAGCTGCCAGAATGCACTGTTTTACCTTTTCTTGCATGCTCAGCTATTCCCTCAGCTGGGTACTTCTGCAACCATTAGTTCACGCTGCCTTATTCACTCCTGCTCACCAGGTGCTTTCTAGAGGTCCCCCCTCAAAATGTCTCTCCTAGATGCAGTCCTGTCTTTTTCTTTCACTTGCTTTTGTTACTTCCTTATGAATTAAATTGCTTTACATTGTTGTAATAAGAATCACTGGGCAATATAATCTCTGTAAGTAGCAGCATACTTGGAAAAATATCCTTAAAATGTCATGTTCATTTATTCTTTGTGTCCCTACTATCCAAAAGACAATGACATCACCTCTTTGTACTCCCATTGCTTTATATGAAATGACACAACATCTTCAAACATAAAAGGCTTGAAGAAGAGTTCTTGAAATCTCTTTAGGAATTCAACTAAGGCAAATTCTCTAGCATATACTAGAGGAGCTGGAATAAAGAGCAGACATTATTTGGAAAGAATTGCTTTGTATCATGAGATGTTTTGGGGGAAATTAGTCTTCTCTATTGCCATAAAACATTCAACAAAGGTATTTACTGTGTATTTATGAGCTAAAAATGGACAATCGTAAGATCCTTACACAGGAAGTCAAAAGACCGATGTTCAAATGTTTCAATATCATATAGTGAGCTCAACTTTCTTCTCGCTGAGTGTGAGCTGCTGGGACTTGCCAGTGTAGTGTTGCTGCCATTGACTGTGGTACTTCTCTGGAAGATAGCTTTGAAGTGAATATAGCTTTTTCATGCTCACTTCTCTTGGGATTTGACTGGAGGTTGACATCCATGGTGACCCTGGAGACTACTTATTGGATATGAGGGAGCCATTCTGTGTCAGAATTTCTAAGTGAGTATGTATTCCAATGGCCTGTCATTTTCTTTTACCAATTAAGAATATCTGTACTATATTAATACCTTGGCATTTGAGACTCGGTGCTATCACAGCTAGTATGTATGTTTCTGATTATATCATTTCACTTTTGTGTGTCAATCTGTTCAGGCTCTTACTAGGGTAGATGCTTTAGAATAATACTTGCTCATATAATGATTAATAAATGTTAGCTATTTGTATTATTGGTACAGATGAGCTATGAACCATTGAACATGGCAGTTTTCTTAGACTCACACTTCCTTGATTGTTAAATGTAAGAGTCATCTTGATAATTTTAAAATTGGGAATTTTTTTTAATACACCTCTGTGAAATTGCTAAGGAGAGATGGAGAGATTGCTCAATGGTTATTTGCAATGGGTGCTGTTACAGAAGATCTAGATTCAATTCCCAGCACCCACATGATGGCTCACAGACCTCTGTAAAGCCCATCCTGAAGTATTCAATGCCTTCTTCTATCCTCAGAGGGCACCAGGCATTTACATTGTGCACAGAAATGCATGAAGGTTGATCATCCATGCACACAAAAATAAATTGCTAAGGAAAAGACTTCAACCATTCTCCTTGTTAGATTTTTGTGTCTATGTGAACTTGATACAAACTAGTGTTGAATAAGAAGAGGAACCTCAGTTGAGGAAGTGTCTCCATCAGATTGCCATTGGGACATTTTCTTGATTGCCAATCAATAGAGGAGGGTACAGCTCACTGGGAGTGATGCCACCCCAGGGCAGGTAATTCTGGATGGTATAAAAAAGCAGGCTGAGCAAGGCAGGAAGAGTAAGCAAGGAAGCAGTGCTTGAACATGGATGGCCTCTGCATTAGTTCCTACCTCTAGGTTTCTGTCTTGAGTTCTTGTCCTTGCTTCCTGTATAATGGACCTGAAGATGAAATAAGCCCTTTTCCTCCCCAAACCGCTTTTACCTTGGTGTATATCATAGCAATGGAAGCAAACTAAGACTCTAATAGAAAGGGGCTATAGGATAAAAGAGAGGCATTTCAAACATTAGGCAAAGAGTCCAGTAAATGGGAGGGGTACAAAGGACACTGAGAGGGGGAAACCATTATTGAAGGAGAATCATCATCTTCTCTTTTACATGAATCCATCAAAGTTTGAAGTAACATTTGGAAAGAAAAAAAAATTTACAAACCGAGCTGTGTCCGTAAGACTTTCATTCACACCCAGATGAATGTCTTGGGTGGTAAGAAAAGAAGGGTGTCCTCCCAGTAGAGCAAAGCCTACAAAGAAAGAAAAAGAAAGTTTTTTTAAAAAAATAACTAAAGTGCAAAACAAAATCATGAGGCATTGGTACTAGTACCATCTCAATAGCAAAGTCTACACCTTAAAGCTCTTCAACCATTCTGTTGGGAATTTCCAAGCATAACAAAGTGATAAATCTAGGGACAAATATGAAAAATATGCAAAAATATGAATATGTAAAACCACTTACCTTTTTTTGAATTCATACTTATACCCCCCCCTCTTTTTATTGAGGAACTGGAAATAATGGGACATTGCTCCCTTTGGGGGAACTGTGCCTGCTTTTTAATTCTTCCAATATAGAAAGATAATCTTCTAGGATGACTAAGAAATAAACTTGAGTTATATGGGATGTCTTGGGTGACAATGGGGTATTAATCAGCATAAAAAAGGAATGAGCCTTCAGAAACATTATGCTAAATGAAAGAGTAAATATTTAGTGTAGGGAAATGTCTAGGAGTAAATATCTGGAGTAGAAGAAATGAAGATAGCTGTTGCTGTAGCTGGGCTATGTGTGATTGTCTGGAAAGGTGTACTGCAGTGTTTTTCTGTGTTAACTGAAATATTCTACATCTTCACGGAGTTTATAGGTTACACAGAAAATGTGCATTCGTCACCACTGAATTGCATATTTAATATTGGCCATTTTCTATATGTAAATTTTACTTTAAGTTTAAAAAATATAAAGCAAGCACCGAGGTGGTAGTTTAAAGCCACTAAGAAATAAAGGGTTACTGGCCATCATCTTCTAATAAAGACAAAGCTAAGTACCAAGTGGGACATGGCCCTCACTGCTTTCCACCATATGTTTGCTTAGAACATTACAGGTGCTGGAGCACAGGAGTCTGACTCTCCCTTTTCTCCCAACACATTCTATTGAGCATAATCTCAAGATAACTCTTGTATTTTGCAAACATACTTTATATTATGATGGGTCAAACTTATGTCCTCAAAAACATATAACTGTCACAGTTTGCTAATTGCATCTGTTTAGGGGATTTACTTTGTAAGGGAAAATGCCTCCATAAGATTGGGGTGTAGACAGGCCAGTAGGGCATTTTCTTGATAGGGGAGGTCCCAACCTATTGTGGGTGGTGCAATCCCTGGCCAGGAGGTCCTGGGCTCTATCAGAAAGCAGGCTGAGCAAGTCATAGGAGCAAGCCAGTATGCAGTATTTCTCTCTATGACCTCTGCTTCAGTTCCTGCCTCCAGGTTTCTGCCTTGAGTGTTTGTCTTGAATTCCCTTCATGATGAACTGTGACCCGAGAGTTCTAACTAATACAAGTCATTTCCTTCCCAAGATGTTGTTGAACATAGTATTTATATACATCTATAGAAACCCAGACCAAGACAGACTGTTGTTGAATGTTATTAAGGAATCATTTTGTTAAAGACATTGCAGCTATTGATGAAAATATTCTGTATTTTAAATAATGTAAAGGAGGGTGTGGGGGATAAAATGTCATAGTTTTAATTTATATTAAAATACTTTAACAATGAGAACAAACAGACAAACTAAGGAAGATAATATGCTAACAATTGTTAGATTGATATAAGGGGTATTATGTGTTCTTTATGCTAATCTTTCTACTTTGTATTTACTTGAAAACTTCTATCATAAAAATAAGCATCAAAAGCTAGAATAATTACTTATGTTACAATGTTTACCATTTTACTAGAAGCCAGCATGTCTTGAATCTTACAATACAAATCAAGAGCACTTACTGGCATTTTATACACCTTTCTCTTTGATTTTTCGCTAAGAAACAGTTTAATAGAACTGTTGTATGAATTTTATAAAACATAATTCTTTGCTTTTTTGTAACTTGTATTCTAGCGGTGAAATACTGATTATAAAGCAAGTGAGTAGCCTCATATCTATTAGATATTAGATACTGGTAAGTGTTATAAAATTTGAGTAACAAAGGACAAGAGAAAATGTAAAACAGGAATTGCCATTTTAAATGTCATGGTCATTGAAGAGCTGTTTGAGTGAAGGTTGAGGAATGTGACAGTGTGGACCATGAGAAACCTATCAGATGGGCAGAAGACTAGTTATTTGTCTTGTGTAAGGGTCACAACTGGTGGATTCAGGAGCTAGCAAGAAAGTGGGTGTGGAAAATACAGTGTGTGTGAAGAGGAGTAGAAGGGAGGCTGGAAAAGGAAGGTAGGAATAAGAAGCAAGAACTGCATTTTGTCTGAGAAAAATGAAAATCTATCGAAGGTTGGAGCAGATGGGTAAGATAATTAGACTTTGGTTTTAATGAAATATATACATAATGGGGCAGAATCAAGGAGGCCAATAAGGAGAGACATTTGTAAAATTTGGATGAATGTTCAGAACTCAGACCAGAATGGCAGTCCCTGAAGTAGTAAGAAAGTGGTTGCATGATTAATCTATGCATATCTTGAAGGTAGCAGCAGCATTAAACTGCTGGGCCTATTTCCTATCTCAATGAGCACATTACAGCTAGCAGAGGACTTCCAGGTTCCTTAGTAACACTCTACTTATCTACATCTGTGTCCATATATTCTGCTTTATTTCCCATTATGCATAGGTGAACTTCTTATCTCTCATGTTTCCATGTCTCTTCCTACTGTCTTAACATGCCCAATTCACCCATATTCTTTAGACCTTTACTCAAATGCTTAACAACTCATGTGTCATCTTTGTCCCATGCTCCCATTCATACACTAGAAGTCAACCCCTTTAACTGTTCACAAACATAATCAATGCTTTATCTCTTTATGTCATAGTCATCGAGAACTATGCTCAATCATAAACGAAATATTTTTCTTGGCACTATGTTCACTTTTGAGTATCACTTTAATTCTTTGCTCCCCTCTAATCAGTCTATCTATCTATCCATCTATCTATCTATCTATCTATCTATCTATCTATCTCTACCTTCCTCCCTCCCTTCTTCTCTCCCTCCCTCGCTCCCTCGAAGGGAGGCTTTGCTAGCCATCACTGCGGCAAGACTCCTCCCATCAACATCAATATGACCTCCACGTTGTTCCATCTTTTTGCCCCTTTCTTTTCGATCTCTTTAACAAAATGGAACAGCAGTCTCTCCCTAATAACCATCGTTTATATAAACTCCAAGATACCACACCTTCCTGCTTTTATATCCAGTTTGTCAATTATTCCTTCTTGGTCTTGATTTCTGGTTTCTACTATTTTTCTTGACTGCTAAGCATTGGAGTCTTCCAGGGTTAGTTCTTGGTCCTCTTCTTTCAATCTAACTTCACTGTAACAAGCTCTCTGGCTTCAAATACTCTCTCTATGCTGATGAACACCTCTTTCCAGGTCTTTCTCTTAAACTCCAGACTCATATACAAGCGCTTTTCAACATCTTTCTTTGTATGTCTAACAGACATCTCAAACTCAATACAAGCAACAATGAATGTCTGGTCATTTGCCTTTGATCTGTTCCACCTGAAACTTTCATAATTCCTAGGCAGAAATCTTGAAGTCATCCTTGACACCCATCTTTTGCCAAGTAAATTTAATCTCTTTGGATCTCCTTTCAAAACATATTTAGAATTCATCCCTCCTGTCTTTCTCATTACTACCACACTGGGGCTAGACTTCCTTTCTCTATGGCCTCCCCCCACACTGACAAAGTATACTGCTTTTGTATAGTTTCCATACCCCTCACACCCACAGTCCATTTTCAACAGAGTGGTCAGTGTAACCTTATAAAATGCAACTTAGAGTATGTCTATCATTCCCCCAAACTCTCAGGTAGCCTATTTCATTCTGGCTAAAAGCGCAGGTTCCAGTAATGGTGCAAAGCTTTCTGCTTTGACATTAGAGCCATTCTCTGTGCTGAGAGTGTGCATTGCCATTCACCATGCTCTATTAATAGCTTATTGATTATGTCTATTGTTTGTTGTATCTGTACCTACTAGAAAGTAAGTGCCATGAGAGAAGGGGGGTTCCCTATCCTTTGTTTACTGTTGAGTGAGTCACAAACATTTCTTATAAAGACTGCCAAATATTAAGTGTATCAGGAATGCTTGTTGAATCTATGAGTGAAGGAACGAAGGACATTGACTCTGAAGAGAGGACCCATTTCCCAAACCGCCGTAGTGTTGATGGAAAGATTAGAAACTTCTTGTTTTTTTTTTTTCTCAATTTCAACCTTTTATTAAGTTCATACCAGAGACCGTCAGAGGTACACAGGATTTCGGATTATTTCCTCAGGCTTATTGAGTCCATTGATCTCTCACTGGAGTCTCACATGTATAGGAACAGCTCCAAGGCAAAGCTGGCTCATCTTCCTGTGTCCTCTGCACTGCGGTCATTGGATCATCTTTGGACCAGTCGCTAAGGTGGGAGGAAGACTCGGGACAGATTGACTCCAATTAAGGAACCTGAGTCAATGTACCAGCAATTAACTCCCAACTAATTAGCAACGATCACATCACTATGTAAGGAACTCGCCATCTCAGCAGTGTGCACGGAAGTGCCCCCAAAGAAGTGACATCTATATTAACATTCTACAAGGCTGATCGATGAATTAGAATTGTGGGCAGTGGGAATATTGCATGCCCAGAGCCCATTGATAATTTATCTTCTGCTGTCTTCGCTTTTTAAAGAGCACTTATTGCCCACTTCTCTTTGCAAGCCAACATCTTGGTGAGTACCAGGTAAACCCTTCTGGAATTGTGTAACAGACACATCAATTCCACCTACACAAAGACTAAGAATGTCATAAAACAGCATGCAAGGTCTACAGTAGAGGCTTTCCCATGGCTGTAGCTGAGGTACCCACCAGCGTATTTGAAAGGGCTCATAACTTTCTTTGCTCTGTTGCTATGAGACTATAACATGGCCACTCATATCTGCCTTCAGAATAAACTCTCTTACTCTGCGGCAGAAGCTGTGTCTTCATGTACCAACAGCAGCATGCAGCATAAACATGTATTTCAGTCCTGTGTCTGCAGCCTGCAGCCCACCTGGGATAGCTGTTCTGGTCTGTGTTGTTCTGTGTGTTTCTCATGGTTCCTCTTCCATGAGGAGAGCACAAAAACTATAACATTCAAATCAGCAGTATCTGTGAAGTCAACTCCGGAGGTCAGCGATGAAGTCACACTTCATTGCTGATGGAAGTCAGGGCAGAAACTCAAACAGAGGAAGAAACCTGAAGGCAGTAGCTGATGCGGAGAGGATGCGGGGACACTTCGTGCTGGCTTTCTCTCCATGATATGATCGGCCTGCTTTCGTATAGCACCCAGGACCACCAGCCTAGGGGTGGCACCACTCTCTTTGGGGTGGACCCTCCCCATCAGTCATTAATCAAGAAAATGCCTTACAGACTTGACTACAGGAAAATCTTATGTAGGTATTTTCTCAACTGAGAATCCCTTTCCCAAATGACTCTAGCTTGTGTCGGGCTTGACAGAAAACTAGCAGGGTCAGATACTGCTTCTGAGAAGGGGTTTCTCTTTTTCACTGGTCAAAAAGAAACTCAGACCCCAACCCAAAGGTGCAAGTCGACTATTTGCTAATTTATCAGGCCTGGGTGGTGATGCGGTATTCAAAGGGAGTTAGAGGATTTGAAAAGCACGAAGAGTGGCCATGGAAGAGGAGAGGACAGAAGGGTGAGTCTCCACGCTCCCTCACCTTTCATTAAGACGCATCTTTTTACCTCTTATATTTATTCCTGTTTTCATACCAGATATTTTCATTCCATGTTTTTTTCTCCCGTTAATTTCTCAATTTCTGTTTGAGAAAATAAAGCGAATCTTATGTTTCTCTTTGTTTTCTTTACATTTCCCTGTGGGCTCTGGAGCAAAGGGCGTAAGTAGAATCCATCCAGTACAAATAGGAGGGATTTGATGCCTCTGTCTGGTAGACGTGAGGCAGTCATTAACCTCTCCGTGCCCTGCTTCAGACTAGAATCCCAATCTTCGTATCGGTACCTTTGTAAAGATGATGAATTTGAAACAGCTGCTACAGAACCAACTTCAATTTCACCTTGACGTGACATGCTCGTGTTAAATAATGGGAAGAAGCACCACTTGCAATTCCCTGTGTGTCTTTCTCTCGGCTACTGCATTTACTAGGATTTAAAAATATGTATCTGTCTATCAACTCAATTAATTTGCAATAAAAGAATACAATTGCCAGTAGATACACAGGAGAATTGCCTGGTTTGCCACGCAGCCATACACTGAGAGATGCAGAATGAACGGTCTAAAGCTACACACAAAGACATGGGCATTGTCTTACCAACATAATGCGGAGCAAAGAAGCCAGACACAAAAGAGCACATGCTGAATGGTTCCTTTAAGACTAAGGTTGAAAGCAGGCAGAGCTAGTTTGTGGTAGTAGAAGCCTAGATAATGGTTGCCTTTTCATGGATGAGTAACGGCTTGAAGGAAAAACAGGGTTGATGCAAAGGGCTTCCGAGTCCTGTTAGCATTCTGCTCTCTTAGGTATCAGTTATAATTATGCATTTACTGTAAAAATCCATTGAATTGTCATATACTTAGTGATCTATACACTTCTCTGAAAGTGTGCTAGACTTAATATACATGTTTCATGAACAATTACTATGTGTGGATAATCATGTCCTATTTCCTGAAATAAGTAGAAACATTGCTGAATCCCCGAATCTCAGTCTTAAGATGGAACCCTTAAGGACGATACTATAAGAATTGCCTCATCCTGGGGAATGGCGCAATTCTGTGGCAGCAACTGACAATGAGATACAAACTATTTTAATTCTAAATAGCAAGGATGCTGTATGTGTTGGGAAATGATATACATATACAGAGGTGGGGATGCAGTGCTGTGACAAATACCTCAAACAAGATCCTGGTCTCTATTCCCCAGTGATGCACTCAGCAGAACTGGTTTGGCCATGGCTTTGTCATTTCTGTAAGCATTTAAGGCAGCTTCTTACTCTAATTTGTCTGTTTCTGAGTTTGGTTGGCAGCATGCCATGTCCAATTAGACCCATAGGGATTTACTGAGGATAATAACAAATACCCTGTGAACCATACATTTTAAAGGCCAAACATTCCTGTCCTCGTGCATTGGTTGATAGAGTTTGCAGTGTTGTGCAGGCTTCAGAGCACTTCTTTAGAGACAGTTGTAGTCGAACATAGTGCTTCATGCCATTTGTGGAAACAATTTCACTAGAATAAAATGTGAGCATCTCAGGCTTCAATTAAACTAGATTCTTAAAAAGGTAAACTTAACAATCACATCCAATCACATGTCTGCCATATGTTAGCTATGTGAACTTGGGCATTTCCTGAACCTAGATCAACCTGCACTCCTCTATCTTACTTTCATCACGTTGTCATGACGATGAAGTGTGGTGATCCATATAATTAATAGGGAGCACTGTCGGAGTCATTATCCAAACTCTGCGACAGCCTCACTCTTACTGATAGCTTTAATACAGCATTATGGAGGAAACTATTCAGGGATATTTCAATATCAAGTATAATATTTAAACAGAGAAAATTGGAGAACCACCAAAACATAATCACTTAAGAAATTAAAAACTGAACAGTTTTTATATAATAATTCTTTAAGTCACCAAAAGGACTCTTGAAATACTAATGGTTAAGTTTTTAAAAAGATAAAATTCTGCCAGATTCCTAGAAAATCAGTGTTAGGAGGAAACAGAGTTTGAGAATGACTGGCACTTTTATTCATTTCTCCCCACAATTGCTCAAATGCCAAAGAAATGTCTTACAGGAGCCAGATTTAAATTTAAAAAAAAGGAGCCATCTGTTTCCTTCCAGGGACTTCTAAGATTAGGTGACATCTTACAGATTTCCCTCTTCCCGTTTCCTTCTCTCAAGGGGCAAGGGAAGTATTTTAATAAGAAATGTGGTCTTGAGGTCCGAACCTTGGTGCGATTTTTACTGAGTGAAGTTAGAGGTCACTTAATCCTTGTGAAAGTCTTTTGGGGGGGGGGCTATCTATTTGGTGAACTTCATTATTAATCACTATGAGGCCACTCCATCTATCACATGTGATAGCGTAGTAGCTCACATGGAAGCTTGAGAGAGTGCTCGCCGATGCTTGTGAGGCAGGGGAAGGCATTGGAGGACTGAAGAGTCAGGCAATGTTTATGTGGTACTTCCTCCTCAGCCCTGATTGCTCATTTGGATCACACCATTGCAGGGAGGTCTGATAGGGAAGAAATGCAGAGATAAAGAGAAGAGGTAATGTGTGGCTCATAAGTTTCAAAATAAACTTTTTGAAACCCATTGTGGAGATAACAGCTTTAGACACAGACAGTAGTACTAGATTTGGAAGTCAGAACAGGTTTGCTTCTAGCTAGTCTTTTCCTCACGTGACCGCTAACACAGGAACCTGGGAGGGGAACAAGGAGAGCTCGCGAGAAGTGGAACAGCGATAGAAAGAGGTACAAGCTATGTGCTCCCGCGACCAACTTCCAAGGAGTGGGAACATGAAATTCTCACATGCGTTTGAGGAACTCTGGTGCGGAGAACATCTGTGTTCTGCCCTTAAGACAGAGCAGTGAGAGGCAGGAAATATTCTAGGGTTCCTTTGCACTGTCTTTGAGAAAGGAACTATTAGGTAAAGGTGGCCTTAGGGTATCTCTGTTCCAGTGAAGTGTGGAGTACCATCAAGAGCTAAGACAAGAGAATCTTAAAGTCTTGGAATCAGAGTGAGACAAACCTTGTAGCAAAATGCAGAGCCAATAGAGATGTAAAGACCCAGGAGGCTCTGGTGTAAACATCAGATGGCAATGCCCTGATGACCAAGCACACTAGCTGATCCCTAGCTTTCTAGACATTCAAATATCCACCAGGGCTTAGTATAACTGGAGACAGGGAAGGAGACCCGATATCCATAAAATAAACCCTGAGACAAATAAGGACTGTTGAATGCAGAAGAGGTTAAATTCCCATCGTCTAATAGAATTGGCACAGAAGAAAACATTCATGAGTAAAAAGACCCATTTCTCAGCTGAGTTTTGGGCCTCAGGGTTGGTGTCCACTTCCATTTCGCCATACACAGGAAGCAAAATCTAAAGTGGCTAGTCAACTTTTCACAGCTGGCCTCCAGATGAGGCTGGTCTTTCTGCCTGTAGCTTTTACAAGAATCGAAGGACACCCCTGCACTGCTGCCCCAGTGAGACAGCTGCTCTCTGTGGTTGCTAAAGAGACACAACAAACTCACCAGTGATGGCAGCCTTCCTCGTGCCTACCCTCTGGCTGGCTCTTCAAGCCAAGTGTGAGTTTTCCAGTGGACTCACCTGTTTCTGTGGACAGTCTTGTACGAGTACTTCTTTTCTCAAAAATCATTCCCAAGGATTTCCCTTGCAGTAAAGGCAAATACTGAAAACCAAGGACAAAAATTACAATTAAAATGCAAGGTATACTTCCTATCCAATATCAAGGATTGTATTTCAAAATGCTAATAAAAACACAGGTCAAATAACTACTACTTCAGAGTAAATGGACACAATATTGTTTAAAAACTGAATTTAAAGTTGTTTCACATTCAATACACACAGATTATTAACATGAAATTAGGAATTAAGACTATTTTTGGATACAGGTTTCTCGTGCAGTCCAGGCTAACCTTGAACTTGCTGTGTAGCAGAGGTAGGCTTTGAACTCCCCATCATCTTATTTCCATTTTTAAAGGCCTAGGGTTACAGATGAATGTTGCTCTGCCTGGCATATATTATTGCTGATTAGTGGGCTCAATTTGGGAGCTTATCCAAAGCAGAATATTCCACACTGGAGCCATCATCTTACTGAACTCTATCCCAATCCCTTTCAATTCCAGAGATGCTGAAGATACTGAATTCGGAGTGACTTTTTCAACTAGTAAGATCCTACTTTCTCACAACATGGGACACTAAGAGTCCTACTTAGGACACTGATGAAGCTCAGTCTTTCAGACTTCATATTCATCAGTCTCCCTCATGAGAGAACATACAGACTTTGTTCCTGGAAGTCATTTGAAAACACTCCAGGAGCTTGAGTACTGGGTGGAGCGCTTTCTCCTTCCTCTTGTGTTATTAGACTTCCTGTTAAAATGCACTCTGGTCTTTTGGTCTTCAGTCAGCAAAGCATAAAAAGGCAAAGGTCTGCACCCTAAGCAGACCTTTCCCCTGTTTCAAGTCTTCTACAAGAGCATCAACACATAGACGCTGGAGCATCACCTAGCCTCTTCGGAGCTTGGAGAGCTAGCCAGCTAGATAAGAAAGACAAAGTCATATCAATTTTCTTCAGCCTGAAACAAAATATTTTTTAAATGCCTTTGAGCCTAGCAAAGTGACACACCCCAGCACTGGGGAGGCAGAGGCAGGGGATCTCTGTGAGTTTGAGGTCAGTCTGGTCTACATAGTGAGTTCCAGGTCAGTCAAAGGTATAGAGCAAGACCCAGTCTCAGAAACAAACAAGCAGCTTTTGTACAAATTCATAACACAAATATGCTTTCAAATTAACCAAGCCCTCTAGCTGAAGCCACTTCATTTAGCATTTTGAAACAGAAATAGCTCAGAATGCAGACCAATGCCCATAGTTGAGCACCACATTCCATTCCTTCCTCGATTTGGCTAGCATTGCTTGTTCCTTTATAATTGAAATGCTTTTAAAAACATAATTTCATCAATGTGAATATTATCATAATGATGACATATCTGCGATATTTCCAGAAAAGAAACGTATTTTTAAAAACCAATACATCATCTTTAAGTTTTAACTGATAGAAAACACAAGAGAGAAAAGGGACATATAAGAACAAAATCTTTCTAGACAAATGATATCTCAGTTTCAGATCCAGTTACTAATGAATTTCAGCATTCTTCTGGGAAAAAAGCACAAGGACTTGTCCTAGAATAACTGCTTTTCATGCTTATTTACATGCCTCTACACTCAGTGCTAATCAATTACCTTGCCTGAAGTTTCATTACTCAGCTAACGTTCAGGAATTTTAATGCATTTTGTTTCCCTCTGCCTTAGGAAAGCAGCTTCCAAAAGGGCTATTGGTTTGTAATGGAAGAGAAGAAAGAAATGTCACATACTTCTCCTTTGTTCTTTATCCGGTATTTCAGATCTGCAGAGAGCCATAACATGTACTGAATCTCCTCTCCAGTGAAGTTCTTCAGGGTCAGGAGGTCACGGCCTTTCAGCTGAACTTGGTTCTGTAGCGGCTTCCCACACCTAGAAAAGAGGGGAAAAATCAGAATAGGATAACATGTATTCAAGACAACAATGCTGTGGGGTGATTCACTGGCCTATTCTTGAAAGTCAAACATAGTAAATCACATGGTATAGCATGTCTCTCCCAAAGTGTTAATAAAACTGATATGGCTGTGGTTTCAATTTTACATATCCAGTAATTGTTATGTTTGAGAGAAAAGAAGAATTTGTGGAAAGAAATTGAAAACTGACATGCTTGGATTAGCTGAGTGGGGAGCTTTGGCACTTACTAAATCATACAACTTGAGGCAAGTTACCCAACCTCTCTCTGCAGCTGTTCATCACCAACACAATGAGTGTAATAATTCTATGACGCCATTGTGAACATGAAATTATTTAGGCTATGTGAAGCAGTGTTCCGCATAAGATGCACCAGGTAAAACTTACCTACTCTTCTTGCAAGCAAGAATTTATAATGCACAAGAGAAAACTGCGTTGTTTACCCCTACTCCTTTCATACAAGAGTGAAGACTTGTATTCCTTTTGTCCATAGGTGAAAACATATCTTTTTGAGTACCATGCAGAAAGAATTTTTAAAGTTCTCTGGTTATTTTTGCACCAGAAGAATGATAGTAAACTAATAAACAATAATAATATAACAATGATAAGCATTTTTTTTAAGTTTGGGAAATCCATTGCAAGTTGACATCTTTTACCTTCAGCTCATGTCTGATTCAGATTGGTCTCCTTTATTGGCAGAAGACAAGCCAGGACCTGGTTGCTCCGTTTCATTGCCTTCAGTCCCTCAAGGTGAGGTCAACAGGAGAGCAAATCAGTTATGTTCGAGTTTTCTAGTATGGGCATAAGGGTTTGAGGGCAACTGTTTGTGTTATATTTATGGGAGTCCTCTAGAGAGACTCTCAGAACAGTTTTGGATATAAATAAAAGCATTTCCTCGGGTATTAATGGTTTATATTTATCAGCCGCTGCCACCCCCAATGAGATCTTTATGCCTCTCCAGGACATCTCTTGTCATGATCAGAAACAATGTCATGCTACGAGTTCTTTTTCTTATTCCAGCCTGTCTCAAGGGAAGCACTCCATATTGCTTGACCTGACAAGTGTAAGGTCCATTTTATTATAGAGTTCTCTTTTATTCTGCCATCAAGACAGTGAACCAATAATTACCTCTTTAATCTCTCCCCCCACCCCGCATGTGTGTGTTCTAGAACTTATTCTTCCTGCCTAATTTTGTCCCCTTTGATTAACAACTCTCATCCCTCATTAACCACTGTTCTACTCTCAATTTCTGAGTTCAACCTTTTCTGATTTTCAAGACAGGGTTTCTCTGTGTAGCCTTGACTGTCCTAGAACTAACTAGCTCTGTATACCAGGCTTGCCACAAACTCATAGACATCCTTCTGCCTCTGCCTTCCAAATGTTGGCATTAAAGGCATGCACCACCACTGCCCAGCTGAGTTCAACTTTTTTACATTCCGCATACAAATAAGATTCTGGGGTATATGTCTTTCCCATTCATGGTTTACTTCACATCATATATAATATTCTAGGTTAAGTCTGTGTTGTACCAAATGCCAGAATTTCATGGATATTTACTGGATGAATGATATTTCAGGGTGTACATATATGCTACACATCTCAATCCATCCATCTATTAATGAACACTTAGGCTGTTTCCTTATCTTGACTTCTGTGATCAGGTCTGTCAAGATGGCTGGACTACAATAATTTTAAAAAAATCCTCTGTTAATCTCCACCCCTTCACTTGGTTTCTGTAACTCATTTTATAATATGTTAGCAATAATGTATGTTATAAAAGTGATTCTTGTCTGTCTGCAAGTCTGCTTTGGGAACTCTGACTACTCACTCTGATTCAGTGAGAGCAAAGTCAGCACTGGCTTGGCCCGGGTACAAACCAAGACAGAAATACACCTATTTTAGCATTCTGCTGCACTGCGTTGATTCCTGTTATTTGAGGTAATCATTGTATAAAATGACAGATTTTATTTAATTATTCCCAGTGTTACCTGTATTTAATAAGAATTGATGTCTATCGCACTAGGGGGTGAATACTAATTAGAAAAATGACAGACTGAGGGAAGTTGATTTACCATAACTATTAATTTTTACTAGGCACAAACTAATTGTCACAAAGTGATCATGCTTGGGTTCCATCATAAAGAAAGAATTTAGGTATATATTCGGTTGAGATTTATGTATACCTTTTTGCAGTAGTGACATGGTCATAGGTATGAACATCACAAATTCACTCAAATTGTTGAACCCACTTCATGATGTCTGACAGCATGAACAAATTTCACCAAATAACTTTCTAGCAGAGTTAACTTGTTCATCTAGAGTTCAATAAGTGAGTACATCTTTTTCAGAACACATGATAGGAACTGTACGTTTCCAAGTTTTGAGTTGATAAAGAAGAGTAATTACACTGGGACTGAGAGGTTGTGGGTGGGTTGGCTATTTAGTTGACACCATTAATATGAAATACTAATGATGTATTTACTGGACATAGAAAGAATTTCATTTTTTCAGTTTTTGTGTGGAACCAAATTTTGGTCCATACACCTATTTCCGAAATATGAGGTTGTCTTCAACTTCACAAAATATATGAATAATAGACTCTACAAATTGGAATTTCTTTCTAACAGTGATCTTTAAATTTCTAGCTAACTTTCAACCTTGGGTTAGAGAGATGGCTGAGTGGTTATACTGTTTACTCTTCTTGTAGATGACTCTGGTTTTGTTCCTAGCACACATATAGTTGCTCAAAATGTTTGTTACTCCAGTTCCAGGAAATCTAATGTCCTCTTCTTACTTCTGCAGGCTTCTGCATTTATGTGATATACATGCATACACTCAGGTACACACAAATGCACATACAATTTAAAAATATTCATAAAGAATTTTGAATATAAATATATACTTATTTATAATATGAGCTAACATAGTAACAGATTGCATATAACAAATCATAATAAAAAATTAAAAGTAAAATATAAAGAATAAAAATAACAAAATACTTTAAAAAATTTAAATATACAAAACATTTTGCTAAGAAGCTTCTAGAACAAAGTGTTACTTCCTTCCTTCTACTGGAGTCCTAGCTAAAAGTACATAAAACTGTGTACAATATCTCCATGCTAGTAAGTCATCCACTGGGTAACTTTAAGTCATAATATTTATGTAGAAAATTAGACTTCACTTAATAAATCTGGCTATACATTTGATTCTGATAACATTAAATTAATGATAATATTAACAAATACATGGCATATTGCTCCAGGAAGGTTTACAGCTGGTAATTACCCGCCTCCTGGGGCATGGCCTTTTACACTATATATCTGGACTAGGCTGCCAAGTCTGCCTCTCCTCTCCTCCCCGCTGGTTTCCGTTTACTCTTTCAGTTTGTTTTGGATCCCATCTCCATCCACCGTTCAAGCAGAGAATCCTGATTTGTAAGTTTTCCTCCTATATAAATAACTATCTGTCTCTCAGTTCTGAGCTAGTGTGGGATTTCTTTTAAGCGTTCGATCTCTCTGCCATCAGCATATATAAGTGCTTGATGTTGTTGAAAAGTTAGGCTTTGACTAATATTTATGCAGCTCCAAGGTCAACTGCAGCATTCTTACGGAGCTCTATAAAATAGGTTTTCTAAATCTGTCTTGAATAGAGGTGTGGCAGTTTAATATTTAGTTCTTCACATTTAGGGTGATTTTGTAAATTATTTTCTTCTGGAATATAATCAAGGTAATTTATGATTATAGATGGTAAACTCCTTTGGCTCCACTTATTATGATAACACATTACTATTATATGGCCTGAGGCTTCCTCCAACATTATTTTTTTTAATTTTTTTTTCTTTTCTTTTTTTATTGAGAAAGGAGAAAAAAAAAACAAGTTTCCACCTCCTCCCAGCCTCCCATTTCCCTCCCCCTCCTCCCACCCTACGCCCCATCCTCCCACCCTTGTCCCCCTCCCCCCTCTCCTTTCCCCCTCCCTCTCCAGTCCAAAGAGCAGTCAGGGTTTTCTGCCCTGTGTTAAGACCTAGGACCTCCCACCTCCGTCCATATCTAGGAAGGTGAACATCCAAACTGGCTAGGCTCCCACAAAGCCATCACATTACGTAGGATCAAACCCCCATGCCGTTGTCCTTTGCGTCTCATCAGCCCTCATTGAGTGAGGTATCCCAGACCCAAAAAGATGATCATGGGATGTACTCACTCATAATTGGTTTCTAGCCATAAATAAGGGTCACAGAGTCTACAATAGGTGAATCTAAAGAAGCTAAGTAAGAAGGGGAACCCAAGGAAACATATAGTTATCCTCTTGGCTAAGGGAAGTAGACAAAATTGCCGGGGAGAAAATTGGGATCTTGGGGTGGGGTGGGATGGGGGTAAGGGGAGATGGGGAGAGAAAAGTTAGAAGGGAAGGAGGTCGGGCCTTGGGAAAACAGGAGGATTGGGATAAAGGAAGGTTGGACAGGGGAGCACGGAACCACAATTCTTAGTTAAGGGAGCCACTTTAGGGTTGGCAAGAGACCTGACCCTAGAGGGGCTCCCAGGTGCCAAAGCTGAGGTCCCCAGTTAGTTCCTTGGGCAGTTGAGGATAGGGAACCTGAAATGACCCTATCCTAGAGCAATACTGACGAATATCTTGCATATCATCATAGAACCTTCATCTGGTGATGGATGGAGATAGAGACAGAGACCCACACTGGAGCACTGGACTGAGCTCCCAAGGTCCCAATGAGGAGCAGAAGGAGGGAGAACATGAGCAAAGAAGTCGGGACCACGAGGGATGCACCCACCCACTGAGACAGTGGAGCTGATCTACTGAGAGCTCACCAAGACCAGCTGGACTGTGACTGAAAAAGCATGGGATAAAACTGGACTCTATTTTTTTAATTTTGAAAATTTCTTTCTTTCTTTTTTTGTCTTTCTGCACTTGATGTATTTAATTTGGTTGAATATTCTTTAATTTCA